CTCATTTTATTTCCACGTTTCACGTAAACCAATGAAAAATATCAAAAGGTATCGTAGATTAAACGATAAAATAAACTTCGACACCTTTCCAACATAACTAAAGTCAATCATATCATTTTTATCAGATCGATGTAAAAGATTATATTAAATCGGGGAAAAGTTTTCGTTAAAAAACAAACAGCAAATTCTTCGATATATTTTATATCTTAGGATATAATAACGTGTGGATATAACAGGTTAGCGTATAATAATGTCTATCGTAAAATTCTTCGATATTTCTTGGTATATATAAAACGTTATTACGTCTCAGGCGCGTATCAGAGATTATTAACTTAAAATTATATAAGGTGGTACTTTCGCGCGTCGGCATATTTTTTTAGGGACAAAATCCCTTCGGGGAAACGTATAACAAGAAAGTGCGACTTACGTTTCATCCTCTATATTTTTTCTTCTTTATCTTTTCCTCGTTGTTCTTCTTCGTTCTCCTTCTATCATTCTCATGCGTCCTAAACGTTATCGAGCAGGAAAAGTACAAGCAACATAGCGCAGTTACTATACCCTTTCCTACAGACATTTATACACACACACACACACACACACACACACACACACACATATTCTCTTTCTCTTTCTCTCTTTCCCTCTCTTTCTCTCTCTATCTCTATCTCTCGTTCTTCTAGAAGAGCCAGAGAGAAACCAACCGGTGGCGATTTGTGCCGGGAGGGAAAGAAAGTTGACCGCGCGAGAGGGCGGACAAGTTTACGAGGTTGGCAGACGGGTGCATATTTAGTAAGTCCCCGGAGGGAATGAACAAAGAGAAAGACGATGGAAAAAGAAGAAGAAACATAGAAAAGAGAAAGAGAGAGAGAAATGAGGGTGAGAAGCAGTATACATGCGCGCATGTGTGAGAGAGATAGAGATAGAGAGAGAGAGAGAGAGAGAGAGAGAGAGAGAGAGAGAGAGAGAGAGAGAGAGAGAGGAAAGAAAGAACGAGATTGTCGTAGAGTGCACGCATAAAAAAGGGGAAGCAGAGGAGAATGAAGTGGGGAGGAGGTCTCCTTGGGTGTGCGAGTTATATTGGTGGATTTTTTTCTAGAGCGATAGACCTTTCGCTCGGGTACATGTGAACGGGCGCTTCTCCTTGAGGACCCATTCATGTGCGTTTATGCGTGGCTGCGCGTGCACGGAAGGAGAAACACAGTCTCAAGTAGGCTGTCTTTCTCCCCTTTTGCCACCCTCTCTCGTTCTATCTTTCTCTCTCTCTCTCTCTCTCTATATATATATATCTCTTTCTCTCTTTTCTTCTATCTCTCTCTTTCTCTATCTTTCTCTCTCTCTCTCTCTCTCTTTCTCTCTCTTTCTCTCTGTCTCTCTCTCTCTCTCTTTCTCTCTTTCTATCGAGCGCGCGCGTGCTCATTGAGGGAGAATGTGCTCAACGGTGCGTATTGATTTCACGATAACTCGCTTCCCAGCGTTAGAATATTCTACCTGTAAACGTTCTTCGAATAAGAATATAGCCGATGTTCGAATACGATGGCTCTCCCTTGCGGTCGACCATTTTACTTGGCGAAAACGTCTTCCGATAGGTCGAATGGATTACACAATTCAAACGAGTTACTTTAGTTTAAGACAGACATCTTTGTCGAAAGCAATCAAATCGTTCCTTCGCTTCTAACCGAGCGTCCAAACTAAGTGATCAAAATCGTTCGAGCTTTCGAGGATTATGAGAAGCTCGTTTATCGTTGGTAAAGTTTTGCTAGCATCTAACGAAGAGAAACTTTCTCGGTTTATAACGTTAGCGCGAAGGAGGGGTATAAGGAATAGAATAAAGAGTAACGAAAAAAAATCCGAGTGACAATTTACTCCTTGCTTTTAATTTCTCACATTAAAATACATATTCGTTGTATTCGAAGTGAATGGACATTTTTAGTCTTTCGTTTCACTCCGTTATATTAAATGTTCTCTGATTTCTATTGCAATTTCAAGACTATGATATTAACATTTCAATTTCTTTTGAAGAAATCTTTGTTAACGTTATTTCGAACTCGGTAAACTATAATTATATGAAATTTCTTTTTTACTTTACGTGTCGAGGACTGACTATGTATCTTTGTTCTTTTGTACAAAGTGTTTATGCGCATTTTATCAAAGAATAATTCAGGTACGTACGTACGTTTCAAACAAGAAAGAAGAACGAAGAACGTAGGAACGGGTCTTTCTCATTTATCCTATGTGAAATTTATTAGAAAATGGCTTTTTGATGAATCGTCTTTAATAGTCATGGTATAGAAGAAGCTTAAACTTAAGGAACAAGCTAAAGGTGGAACGACTAAGGACATCAAGAAAAGCAAAAGGATCAACACCATTTCTTTCTTTTTCTTCTTCTTCGTCTTCTTCGTCTTCTTTTTCTTTTGCTTCCTCTTCTTTAACCATAGCACGCCTCAACCAATTCACATTAGGAAAATCGTACGTTTTCTCTAACATTCTTTACGATCGTTTCGAACGAACTTCCATCTAAATTTCTACTTCTATGACTTCTTCGCGTGTGCTTTTAAATCGTAAATCATCATCTTTGACTATGGTCCTTTGAAAAAGGAGGGCGTATTATCAATCGTACGGATAAGTTTCTCGCGATTGAGAACTTTATCCTTTTGTTATCGCACGCTTTAAATGAAATTGAAAACATCGTGATTAATGTCAAAAGTCACGGTGAAAAACATCCTTGAAAATTTCGAACATTTTCGATTGTCTTTTATTTTCTTCATGAATCGTTTCATCGCTATATCGAAGATCATCGATACGATGGAATTTCGATTATCAGGCGAACTTTTGCCGTTTGTTTTCTAAACCATCGGTTATCGTCTTACTGGATAAAAAAGAAATCAAACCGACGCCAAGATCATTCTATTTACACGATTGCGAACGACAAGCGATATGCGTTTACTTAAATGGTCGCACGTAAAGGTAAATGATTAAAATTAAAATGGTGCTCTTTCAGAAAAGGCCAAAATCCATTTATCCAATCGAATTTCTAGAAATTCAATATCACCAGTTCCTTTTGTGCTTAGAGAAACCACTTTGCAGTTTTTCCATACAGGACGAATACCTGTTACCGTTCATGTCAATTCGCTCGAGAAATTGTTTTTGCAACGTGGTCGTTGGATTTTCGACTGTAAGTTCGCTCTGTTAAGTCTGCGAAATGCGAACATGTTTCCCATCCTAACGAGTTTTCCGCATCCGAGAATAGTTATATCTTGCCAAAGGATTTCTCTTAGTTACACCGGGATTTTCTTGAGTTTCTTCCTATGAGGATCTTCAAAGATATTTCTTTACGAGAACAGCCAATGCCAGAACTCGACCTCGATAAGGTCTTGAATTAATATCCACGACTATAACGGTTTAATATCCTTCGAATCTCTTACGAACTTGGATTCGCCAAAAGATTGGATTTATCAAGATCTCAGTCGGCTGCACAAGATGTGTCATTTCAAAGTGAATAGTTTTTGAACTATCGACCTTTACGTAATTCCTATCGCTATATTTCTATAACATATCAACCTAGAAATATCGTCTGTGAAAGGGCATACTTAATGTCACCAAACGATCGCGAAGTTAGTTTGCATTTTGTTGGATCGACGCGTTTCATATGCATAGAATACTCGATGCGATGGGAGATTCTATTGGCACAAACAAAAACGTCCGTCGATATAATAGCATAGCTTTGCTCGAGCTATCTCCTGCGATCGAAGGAAATCTATCGATCGGTATGCTTTTCCCAAAGCTTTATTTAATTTCTCTAGATGTTAAAACTAGCACGTTACGTAACCGATGGCGGCATTTGATTTTAAAAATATCACGATGCTATCAAGGATTTTCTATGCTAAAAGCAATGATACTTGAAGAGAAATCCAAGAGGATTAACTATAAACTTAACGAACTGAAATAATCCTCATTATCCTAAACTAACCGAGGTAGAAATTTTAGAACAAGTATAGATAAAATTATTCCGTAAAAATTCTCTTTATATTAATTGATAATAATACGGAAACGATTGTTTTCTGTTTTCTGTTTTTTTTTTTTTTTTTTTTTTTTTCATTTAACATACGTATCCAATATAATTTTTAATGTCATTATTATCCATTAGCTCTTTTTAAACTTATATTCCAATCGATTGTTTTATTAATACAAAAAAATAACACATATTTTAAATAATTATTGACGATTAACGAGAATGATAGAATTTATTCATTTTTCTTAACAACGAAGTTTTTTTCGTTTCGAAAATTATTTAAAACGATGGACGATAGGTAAAATCTTATGCGAGGGTTTGGTGATTCTCGATTAACAATTTCCACAGGATTGCTGCATCGCTCTCAAGTGTGGTTCTCACGAGTCGAAGGTAAAAGGGCTAAGAGAGTTTCAAGCTCGGCCGAGGTGTATGGTTTGAGCACACGTATCAACTTGCCCTAGACCTTACTTCTCGTTGTTTTACTTAAGCCTGAGCTTGCACTTCCGCGTCCCCGTAAAGAGACCTCAGATAGTCCAACCCCTCCGGCCAAGCAAAGCGCCAATGATTCCTATCCAACGGCTTTGCTGCCTGGATTCGAGTGTCCTTTTCGTTCCCCGTTCTACGCTTTATCTTTCTCTCTCTCTCTCTCTCTCTCTCTCTCTCTCTCGCTTTCTCTATCTCCATCTTCTCTTTCTGTTTTCTGCTTTTCTCTTTCATTGTTTTAATTTTTTTATTTTTTTCCTTCTCTATCTTTTTCATTTCTCTTCGTCTGCTTTTACGAATTTACCGTACACGCTAACTACAACCCATCTCGATTTCACCGTTACGATAAAGCTGTTCTGACCCTTGAACGTAAGAGGGTATGGCGGTTCCTATATCAAAATAGAATGTACGAGAAACACGCGAGCTGCATCTTACGAACCATTACAAGCTGATACTATGAGATATACAATTTTCAAAATAATTCGATAAAATATTTTCGAGCTGATTATGATACCTACATACATACGTATATATATTTAAATGAAAACAATATCGTGATTTTATCGTAACGAACAAATGTTTTTAATAATTGGATCGAGAAAAATATTTTTTAACATATAACGTACGGATTATAACTATTTCATTACTGAATGTGCATTACTAATTCGCTATTTTAAGCGGATAAAATGTACGATATATGAAATTGAATTTTTATTTAAACCTCACTCGTTATTCGTATATTCATGTTTCTCTGAAAAAGATTCAGGAATTTATTTCTATTTTTTTTTTCTCTTTTCTTTATATGATTATTTTATTTTTCATTATTCCTCGCACCGTGTTCACAAGAAATCGGTATGTATGTACTTCCAATGACATGGGCTGGTTATGTGCACAGGACATTTGAAACTTGGCACTAGCGTCGATCGCTCCCGAGTGGCAATGAACCGGGAATTTGAGGCTTTTTCTCACGTTCGTACGAGTTGCCAAGCAAACACGATACGCTTTTTATGATCGTTACGGAACGGTGTGGACACAGTCCAGGTTCGTCTGGCAGAGCAGCGACCTGTTCTACTGGCATATACGATCCTCTTCTTTTTCTTTATCTCTCTTTCTCTCTCTCTCTCTCTCTCTCTCTCTCTCTTACTCTCTTTCGCTCTTTATCTCACTTATTGGTAGAGAAAACTAGAATCGAGAAATGAAAGAGGGAGATGGGCAGAGAAAATAAACAAATGGAAACGCAATCCCAAAGCTTGATTCACTCTGCCACGAACTACCGTGTCCCCTTTTCATTAACTCTACCAATTTGCCTTCGTTTTCTCTATCTCTTTCTCTCTTCTCTTTTCTCAACTCTCAGATTCTGTAGCAATACGACCAGAGAACGTTTCGCGCTCGGCAAGGTTTTGTCGTTTGACAAATATATATTTCTAACTTATTTTTCTTCTTCTTCTTCTTTCTTTTCTTCTTTTTTTCGCAATTAAATGTAATATCCTATGTTGTAAAGCAAGAATCTTCACGGCTCGAACGATTTCTACTCTTATGGACCAATAAACTATCTAGTACAGAATAGGATAAAAGTTTCCAGGTGATTTTTAAAACATCAATTATTCTTTTTCGAGACTTTTTAGATTAATATTCTTTTCAGATTTTAAAGTCCCAAGTCTGGGAACTTTTGCGTCCATCTTGTATAACGAAAAAGGCAATTGTTAATAAACGTCAAGTGGGAATCCGTTAAAATTTTAGTAGAAAAAGAAAAAGAAGAAGAAGAAAAAAAAGAAAGAATAATAAAAGAAGACGAAGAAGGAAGAAAGTAATGTTCTTTAAAAGAAGTTTATACGGTAAAAAGAGTTTCGGGAGGAACTATGTCGTTGAAGCCTCACGATGGCTTAGATGTCGCGAAGGGTGCGCTTCCGAAGTGCAACCCCGAACGTTCTACGTCCCTTGCCCTCCCCTACCGCCGAATTAGGAATTCGATCGACGCTGAAGGTTCCAGTCGTAGCCACCGGCTCGATGGTGGCGTTTGCGTTGCGACTCCCCCTCGTAAACACAGGCCTCGTGAGAGAACGCCTGATGCCTCTAAAATCCTCCGACTCGTCACCCGTCGACCTCTCGACTGAAAAAAGAGAGAATGAACGGATGGAGAACCACTGCTTGGAAAATCGTCGTGCGTTAACTTCGTTTAGCTGCTTAACGAACGTTAGCTTAGGGTAAAAAAATAATGAAGTGGATCGTGTTATCATTTGTCAGTCGAATTGGTCATTTCATTATTTCTTTTCTTATTGCTTTTCTTCATCTTTCTCTTTTTTTGCTTTCTCTTTTCTCTTTTTTTTTTTTTTTTTTTTTAATACACACAACACATATAATATTATAAGACAAATATCCTTATTATACTGTTTTATTTACACACATCTCCGAACAACAGCAAGCTAAGTTCGCCTTAGAGAACTCTCCATAAAAATGATTCATTCTGACGTATGTACGTGTTTCGATTTCCTCGGTGGAGATCAACGACGTTCTGTGCGCGTACTCGATCAGTGTCTCCCCCTGCTTGCGTACGAAAGGAGGCTAGTAGTAGTTACCGTATTATACCGACACAACTAAGAAAACTGATGTTCGATTGAGATACCGATTGGATAGGACAAAGTATCTAGGAGATTTTGTTAATTGAAAAAAATTATTTTCAGTGTTCTGCAAATTTTTATAATACGGACGTATATATATTAAAAAAAAAAAAATATATATATATACATATATATCTTGAAAATTGTGCGGAAAGGAACAACATTAACGTTACCTTGTCAAAAGGTTCGACTTTAAAGCAACCTAACCGAACGTTACTCACACGAAGACGAGAGAGTCCAATGGTTGGACGGAGAGTCGGAGGGTCGTCGGTGTCGAATGGAGGGGTAAAAGCGTTAGGGGTAGTGAGATACGGGGCGTATAGAAGGAAGGGTAAGTTAGGGGAAGTAGCGTGGGTGGTGGAGGCTCGGTAGGAATGCTGGTGGCGTCGGCGGTGGTGGAAGGTAGTTTCTGGGTGGTGGAGGGCGCGGATCGCCGTCCGCAAAGTCGTGCGTTCACCCCGTGCCGCGACGACAACAGGGCGTCGTTCGTTCCGGAGCGAGCGACGCTGCCGCCGAATCTCATTCTCTCCCTTTTTCTCTTTTCTATCTTGCTGTTTTTATCTCATCCATTCGCTCTTTATCTCTTTCTCTCTCTCTCTCTCTCTCTCTCTCTCTCTATCTTCTTCTCTTTCTCTCTCTCTCTCTCTCTCTCTTTTATCGGTCTATTGGAACGAAGAGAAAATAAAACGTTCGTTATTGGTATACGCGTCGAATGTTAAAGGTTCGATAAGTAACGCGTTTGTGTCATTCGCTTTGTTCTGATCGGAAGGAATCCTCTCGAAGACTTCGCGAATACGCTAGTTTCTTGAAGATGAACGAAGGGAAGAAGAAGAGAGGATGGAGCAACATGCGCGAACGTGCACGTGACTCTTGAGAAAGGTTCGTTCACGTGGTAGTAGTGCTCGTGGTGGTGGTGGTGGTGGTGGTGGTAGTAGTACTAGTGGCGGTGGTGCTAGTAGCGGTGACGGTGGCGGTTGTGGTGGTGGTTCCTCGAGTCTGGCTTGCTCGTGTAGCACTATGCAACGCGCTGGAATGCGTCCTAACGAAATTCGAGGTTAGATACGCTCGGAGCCTTCGCCGTCTCGCGAGGGGTGTTGCTAGAGGCGCGGATCTTCCGAGTGGATCTCTTTGGAGTGGGGCATAAACGGGGGGTCGAAGGGGGTGTTGGCCAAGCGACCTCGGCTCAAAGTGTGTCTCGCTTGGGCGTGCGAGGTGGGATCGGTGTTTCTGGACTTTAGTGTCTTTCCTATGTCTGGACGTTGCCGAGGAGAGCTCGTTGAACGAATAAGATCACGTGCCACCGAAGAGGAATCATTGGATTGGATTTTCGTCGTTTTCAGTGATAAATCTTACGATTGTCTTAAAAGAAAAATAGACATTGATTATTACTTCGTATTCTCGAGTTAATGGTCTAAGAGAAGTGTTTTGTGAGATTTCTTCGAGAAGCTTAAAAAAAAAGAAATCTTTTTCGAAGTGATCCAACCGATCGTATCGTAAATCGTGAGAAGCTCGAAATTGTGATTTGTGTTGAATAAACGCCAGGAGGAGATAGTGGAAGTTTGAAAAAAAAAAAAAAGAAGAAGAAGAAAAAAAAAGGAAAAAGAAAAAGGAAAAAGAAAAAGAAAAAGAAATTCGACGGCTTGTCCTTTCAGTGAAGTGCTTCGATCTAAAGTGTATATACGAAGCTTTTTCACAGATTGGAAGTTACGAGGTATGCCTATTCAAAAAAGGAAATAAGTTGAAGTGATCGTTAGCTTTTCAATCGTATCGTACGATTTGAAACGTGGATTCCCGCCCTATGTTGCTAGGACGAACACGTGAATCAGCCCTTAGCATTTCGAATCGATCTGGTATATTCTGTAGGAAATGTACGAACGTAGTTTCCTTGGGAATATGAGAACATCTCGTAATTCTTACGAAAAATTTCAAATTCATTTGCTCGTCGACATTTTCGCGTATACGATCGCGTGGAGAGTAATCTTTATTGCGTTAAAAGGAGGAATATAAAATTATAAAAATATTTCCTATATATAATTTTTTGTTAGTAATTATAATTACTCGATTAATAGAGTATAACATTTTAATTGGATAATCAACGTGAATAGATCACTACGACGAGTATTACTTAAATAATACATTAAAAGTCTAAAGTAATAACACAAGTTATCACGAATATATTTAAAAGTTTGTCAGTTTTCCATATGTATTTAATAATCTTATATATTATTCGATCAATGTATTAACATCGTTATCCTGTCACGCCCTGTTTGTGGAATATTTCATAAACGTTTCCTTTAACATTTTCTTCGTAAAACATTTAATCATTAGATACACAACTTTTAATTCGTTTCGAACACCTTAAAGAGAAGCCCCGAAGTTTTAACTTTGCTCGCGAAGATGACGAGACTATCGGGTTTCATGCGATGGATCAACGTCGCTTTCTAGGAACTCGGTTGAGGAACTTGTCGAATTTAAAGCTCATTGCACGACAAAGTCAGCCGATGGAAGAGAGTTTAAGGGTTAAACGTTTAAACCGCGAACTAATCATCGAGATTGAACGTCAAAACGATAAGAAGACTCCTTTGATCGTCGAGTTATCGACGTTGCGGACAAGTTTACTGTATCGTTCATCCTTTTCAAAAGTCGTGCTTTAATACATTTCAACCATGATAGAAGGTCGTATCCTTATTGTAAAAATGTCAGAAGGTCGTCTTTAATCTTTAAAATCTCATTCGACCGATCAAATATTTTCTTCTTCGATCATTATTTCAAAAACATTATGATTTGATTTCGATTAGAAATCAATTCATTGATCTAAATTTATTACCTCTTCATATTCGTAGAACCAATGCTAATTTATTTTCACGATTTACTTGAAAATAAGTCTGTTTACGTAACATTTAATCGTTATTTTATACATTAAGCTAATTAGCACGAAAAATCTTGTTTTTATATGAACGCAAATTTACTTTCAAGAGCACTGACGCGTTTAGTGAATTAAATGTCGGTGTTGAAAACTCTAAATAATATCAATTTCGTTCACTATTGCTCGATGTAAAGTATAAAGATAAACCGATTTAATATTCTGTTAATATATCATATTTATAGAAATTCAAATTTGAAGGTTTCATGTTACTTTTATTTAAAAATAATCTGGATTAATTTAATTCTCTTGTATTATATATTATATCGTATGAACGAAGATCGACAAATTTTCATCATAATATAAAGAAAAAAATCATAGTAATAATTATACCATGTTATTGCTTAATGGAACATTGGTACTTATATACGGGTAGGATCAAAATTATATATTTATTTATATTAAACTACCTTGCAGGAAATGTTTGTAACAAAATAACGTTATTAAGAAAATAACACAAAATCTAATAGACGAGTAAAAATAAATATCATGCATTTTTGCGAAGACAGCGATTTCATTCCTCTTCACGAATAATTTCGCAATTCGTTGACATATAAAAAATAAACTACATTACGGATGACAAACATAACGAAATGAAATATTTGCGAAGAGCAACATTATGTGCGATGCTTATTTTTTTTTCTCGTCGTAGCATCGCGGGATATTAGATAAACTTTAATATAACTTAATTTAATTTAATTTGGATTAAATATAATATATTAGATGTTGAAAAGCGAATCGATATATCGAGAATATATTGTTCTTTGAGATCTCGAAGAGTAGCACTCGTAAATACTAGATAATAATAAATTTCGTTATGGATATTTCATTATATCAAGGGATATTATCAAAGTGAGTATTCAGTCGGTAGATCCTCTTCGGCGAACATTATTTAAGAGAGTATTACGAATGGGTGGGGTCACAAGGTCATCAGTTTGGTCGTATCGGCGTTAACCAACGACGGAAAGGAACATCCGTGACTCTAATTAAAACCGATCACGCTCGAAGATGCAGTCGACGAAATTGATTACCCATAATTGGTGCTCGACGCGATGTAGCCTCTAGGCGACTTTGCGGTTTGACAGACGGACTGTATTGGAAGTTTACGTCAGTAAGTTCCTACGAGCTGCCATTTGTAGGTAGAGGGCAAATTACGATCTGAATCATGTAAATATCATTTAAAAGCAAAAGAGCAAGACCGACGTTAAAAATCATTTTGTATTACAGTGCAAACTATTACTCGATAGTGAATTACCACCTTTATATTGAATTCTCAATGAATTTTTTATGAACAATAACTATTATATAGAATGTTGACACAAATTCTTGTTTGGCTTGGTTATATACATAGATACATATACGAGGACGAAAAGCTAAGTTGTTTACTCGCGTAATATCGTGATCGCACATATGTATCTGCGGCTCTTACGGTTTACCACCATTACAGGTGGTTGGTAAATTTCATGCTAGCTGTAACAAGAGGATCAAGAACATATCGCTCTTTTGCGGCACGTACCACTATCGACTCCACGGTAAGAACATAGTAGGTATCTTTTAGAGTTTTTATCT